CTCTGACATGAATATTCAGAGGACGCTACCATTAGACCATCTCTTGCTCATTGTAGAAGGCAATACAGAAGGAGGGAGTGCCTGGAAGGTGCTAGTTCACTTTGCAGTGATATCTCTGAGGAGCTACTCACATACTCAGTTCCACCAAAGCCCCACACTGAGGGCATCAGGATAGATTAATCCTTGGGGTGACTCCCTTGGTTTAGGTAAAGAGGATTTTTRTATAATTTACATAACAGAATTACAGCAGTATGAACCTAGTCCTTTAGATCATCTGGGTGAAACTGAGGACTCTTTTCCTTAGGCTCTCCAAAAGCATGGGTGGTTCCTGCATTACAGCACCAATTTTAAACCGCTATAATGAATGATTCCTGTCCAACCACAAGGATTACACAACCACTATTATTTTTATCAAAAAAAAAAATGTAACTCACATATAGCTCCACCGTACCTGGAGCTTCTTACACTTGGAATGTCAGAAGTTTTGCAGACTGTGATCAGAGCTGGTAGCCAAGKTGTTTAAGTATAAAAATATATATTTTAAAGTTAACTGAAAGAAGTATTACTGCCTTCTTTGCTGGAATCTACTTTGAGTGAAACCAGGAGTTTTATGTGAAATAGTTTTGACAGCTTTTTTGTTTAGCCCATAGAAAGTTGTAACAGCTTCAAACACTGTTAGCTTTATAATCCACAGAATTGTCTGACTTGGTTGTGGGAGGCTGTCAGCTGAATTATTTAAGAAATTAAATTTACCAATGTTTTTAAAAATTTCAGCAAACCACTTGGTTTTCAGAGATACCTGCTTCCTGAAAATCTGATTGGTCCTTTTGTGTTTACTAATTACCAAAGTGACTTGAGCTACCTCATCATCTTTAACATGTTTATAAATACTCCTGGGAGGAAAGGAAGTCCTATTTTCCTTTTTAACAGATGAGACATTCTTGAACTGAGAGTGTAATTTAAATGTGTTTATCTTTATCTTACAAGACAGTTATGGCAGAGAGGCATTCTTTGAAAAACGTTGAATTGCTACCTAGTGCCCTGACTATTGGACTCTCCTTCCTCAATATTCACATTCCTTTAATGTGACTATGGTCAGACTGTCGTGCTTTGGAGTATGATGGATTTCTTGTTCGTACTTTATAGACGAGGTCAGAACAATGCCGTTAGAGCAGATTCCGTAGCTGAGAAATCCCAGAGAGCTCTTTCTAACTTAACCACAAGATGTTCGTTCATCACAGAATGGTGGAGGTCGGAAGGGACCTCCAGAGATGATCTAGTCCAACCCCCTGCTCCAGCAGGGACACCCGGAGCACGGGGCACAGGGCGGCATCCAGGTGGGTTTGGAGACCTCCAGAGAAGGAGACTCCACAGCCTCCCTGGGCAGTCTGTGCCAGGGCTCTGTCACCCTCACAGTGAAGATGTTCCTCCTCACATGGAGATGGAACTGCCTGTGTTGCAACTTAYACCCTTTGCCCCTTGTCCCATCACTGGCCACCACAAAGAAGAGTTTGGCCTCCTCCTGCCTACATTCACACTTCAGGTGTTTATACATATTGATCAGATCCCCTCAACCTTCTCTTCTCCAGGCTAGGAAGATACTGCTGGGGTAGAGCTCCTCAGGCCCAGAGCAGGGTGAGAAGGCCAGGGAGAAGCAGGAGGAGACACAGGCACAGACGGCCTGTTTTCAAATGACTTAATGAGGATGGAGTCAAGCCTGACTCAACCCCTTGCCTGACTGGCTCTCTCCAAAGAGCTCATTGCAGTCAGGAACGAGATGGAGGAGCCACGCACTCCGGAGCAGGCCCCTTTCCTTCTGCTGCTCATTGCAGAGTTCATTGCAGAGGAACAGTTTGTCAGGTTAAATTGCAGTTTTTCTCCACAGTGTAACTGAAGGTTGTTCTTCCCTCTTTTCAGCCCTCAAAGATATTTTTTCCATGTCTTAAGTTCATGCCTAATCACATGATTTTTTTAAAAAAAAAGGATAAACTCAGTAGAATTGGATAAAAGTGGTTTGAAATGAAGTGGAAAGAATAGGGCTTTGAAAGTTGAGTGCTGAAAGCCCTTGAGAGTCTAGGGTCCTTGAAGAAACCACATGAAATTTTGAAATATCCAGATGGGTCACTGCTATCTGTTGAAGTGTATTATATTCCCCCCAACTCTCAAGAATACTTATGTATTAAAGTGATGGATTTTCATTCTCTTTGATACTGGGAAATTTCTGCAGGTAGCTCTGCTTCACCCTGACATGTCTTTAAATTATAAATTACCTATTTCTTAAAAAATAGGGGTCAATCTTTGCCCTCTGCTTTCAAAGAAATGTGTCATTTTAGAATCAGATCCACTACCTGAATTCCAGCTGAGTTGTAGGTCAAACATGTTGGGCATATTCTCTTCTTCAAGGATGGCTGTTTTGAAGGATAGAATGAACTGGGAGATTGCACAAGAACTTTTGCAAYGGAGAGGGAAAAATCAAACTTATGTATGGCGGTAGACATAATATCTGCAATTCAGAATAAGAAAGTTTAAGTATATCCCAGTACCCCCAAAATCTAGAGATCAGCTCCCAGCCTTTACCTGCTTCTGTCCTTTGTATTACAGAGTGAGTGATGACTCTGACCTTCACTCAACTGCACTAAAAAAAAAAAGGCAGATATCCAATACACTGTACTATTAAAAAAATTTAGTGTGGAGTTTAGATACAAGATGAACTATGAGTTAGTTTACTGCTAAATTTGAAAAATCTGGTTTATGAATTGGGATTATTAGAAATTCAAGATCTTTATATAGTTACATGATTTTTTTTTTTAAAAAAAAATCTAAGATAGTATTGTAAACATTGTTTTTGGTGTCCTACAAAATTTCAAGAGCACAGTCTGGGAAAGATATCCCAAATGTGGCATTTCTATCATAATGTGCTCTCATGGTAAAACAAACAAACAAAMAAAAAAAAAMCCCAAAACCAAAGAAAGTGCCAGTAGAAATCTTGATGCCTAAAGGGTCAATTATGCARACACTGCATTTTCTCCTTGAGTTCAAAATGCTGGATAATGGCAAGGCCTGCACTGAAAATGGAAGGAGATGGGTAAGAGAACTCACACCCTAATAGCTCTTACTGTCAATCATTAAGTGGTCATAAAAACTGCTTGAACTGTAGCTGTTATGATTACTTGTTTTTGTATTCCACTTTTAAAAAAGAGACTCATGTTTGATATGTTCTGCTTACGATAATTATCTGGTTTCTAGTCTATTGATATCTTGTCAAAATCAARTTCTTGGATGTACCATAAATACAAATTTACCTATAGCTTTGTCAAGGTCATTGTTTTCCCTCTCTTAAGTTTTTGAACTAGGATTTTAACTCCTCAGCAATATTTGAAATACATCTAAGATTTCCRATTTAAATGAAAAGATGCATTAATGACTGAGCTTTACTAATGAAAAAACTCAAATCCATACTGGCTAGGATACTATACCATTAGACTAAASTTCTATAGTTATTAGATGGCTGCACAATCCATGAACCTTTCTCAAATGTTTGGATWGCAGGGCCCTTTGTTAGGAAAAAATGAAAGAATTTTTTTTATATACAGCATTGGAATTTTGTTCAAAGGAAGGTCATTGTGACTGTATATAGTTCTCAAAAGCAGAAGCTTGTTTTGTAAATAATCAAATTATCTTTAATCTTACTGCATTGCTTAATTTACCACTAGCAAGGTGCATAAGCACACAAACATTACATCTAAACTCAAGTAGGGGCATGGGTAATTCCTTAAGCACAGTTACGTGGGCCTACTGCTTGTTACTGGTTTATTCCTGAGCTCAGTAGATTCAAGCTGCTCTCACAATTAGTTTCCCCTGTTCCTAGCTAGGGGAAATCCATTATATTTTGCTAATTTGCTAGTCCTGGTGAGACAGTGCAGGACTCAGCA